AAGAAAGAGAAAGAAAAGAAAAAGAAAGAAAGAAAGAAGAGAAAGAAAGAAAGAAGAGAAGAAAAAGAAAGAAAGAAAGAAAGAAAGAAAGAAAGAAAGAAGAAAGAAAACAAAGAAAAAAAAAGAAAGAAAGAAAGAAAAGAGAAAGAAAGAAAGAAAGAAAAAGTCAGAAGCACGCGATCCGCCCCGGCGAACGACAGCCATCAACCAAAAGCCAAACCTCACCGAGAATAAAAGGACGAACGCAACCCTTGTGAGCTGTGAAAGAGAAAGAAAGAAAGAAAGAAGGAAAGAAAGAAAGAAAGAGAAAGAAAGAGAAAGAAAGAAAGAAAAAAAAAGAGAAAGAAAGAAAGAAAGAGAGAAGAAAGAAAGAAAAGAAGAAAGAAAAGAAAGAAAGAAAGAGAAAACAAAGAAAAAAGAAAGAAAGGAAAGAAAGAAAAGAGAAAAGAAAGAAAGAAAGAAAAGTCAGAAGCACGCGATCCGCCCCGGCGAACGACAGCCATCAACCAAAAGCCAAACCTCACCGAGAAATAAAAGGACGAACGCAACCCTTGTGAGCTGTAAAGAGAAAGAAAGAAGAAAAAGAAAGAAAGAGGAAAGAAAGAAGAAAGAGAAAGAAAGAAAGAAAGAAAAAAGAAAGAAAGAAAAGAAAGAGAAAGAAAGAAAGAAAAAAAGAGAAAGAAAGAAAGAAGAAAGAGAAAGAAAAGAAAGAAAGAAAGAAAGAAGAAAGAGAAAGAAAAGAAAGAGAAGAAAGAGAAGAAAGAGAAAGAAAGAAAAGAAAGAAAAGAAAGAAAGAAAGAAAGAGAAGAAAGAAAGAAAGAAAGAAAAAGCAGAAGCAACGTCGATCCGCCCCCCGGAACGACAGCCATCAACCAAAAGCCCAAACCTCACCGAGAAATAAAAGGACGAACGCACCCTTGTGAGCTGTGAAAGAGAAAGAAAGAAAGAAAGAAGGGGAAAGAAAGAAAAGAAAGAGAAAGAAAGAAAGAAAAAAAGAGAAGAAAGAAAAGAAAGAGAAAGAAAGAAAGAATAGAAGAAGAGAAAGAAAAGAAGAAAAAAAAAAAAGAAAGAAAGAAAGAAAGAAAGAAAGAAAAAAGAAAAAAGAAAAAGAAAGAGAAAGAAAAGAAAGCGAAAGAAAGAAAGAAGAAAAAGAAAGAAGAAAGAAAAAAGAAAGAAAGAAAGAAAGAGAGAAGAGAAAGAAAGAAAGAAAGAAAAGTCAGAAGCACGCGATCCGCCCCGGCGAACGACAGCCATCAACCAAAAGCCAAACCTCACCGAGAAATAAAAGGACGAACGCAACCCTTGTGAGCTGTGAAAAAGAAGAAAGAAAGAAAGAAAGAAAGAGAAAAGAAAGAAAGAAAGAGAAAGAAAGAAAGAAAGAAAAAGAAAGAAAGAAAGAGAAAGAAAGAAAGAAAGAGAAAGAAAGAAAGAAAGAAGAAAAGAAAGAAAGAAGAGAAAGAAAGAGAAAGGAGAAAGAAAGAAAGAGAAAAGAAAGAAAGAAAGAGAAAGAAAGAAAGAAAGAAAGAAAGAGAAAGAAAGAAAGAAAGAGAAAGAAAGAAAGAAAGAAAGAAAAAGTCAGAAGCACGCGATCCGCCCCGGCGAACGACAGCCATCAACCAAAGCCAAACCTCACCGAGAAATAAAAGGACGAAACGCAACCCTTGTGAGCTGTGAAAGAGAAAGAAAGAAAGAAGAGGGCGAAAGAAAGAAAAGAAAGAGAAAGAAAGAAAGAAAAGAAGGGGAAAGAAAGAAAAGAAAGAGAAAGAAAGAAAGAAAAGGAAGAAAGAGAAGAAAGAAAGAAAAAATAAAAGAAAGAAGAAGAAGAAAGAAAAGAAAGAAAAAGAAAAAGAAAAAGAAAGAGAAGAAAAAGAAAGCGAAAGAAAGAGAAAGAAAGAAAAAGAAATGAAAGAAAGAAAAAAGAAAGAAAGATAGAAAGAAAAGAGAAAGAAAGAAAGAAAGAAAGAAAAGTCAGAAAGCACGCGATCCGCCCCGGCGAACGACAGCCATCAACCAAAAGCCAAACCTCACCGAGAAATAAAAGGACGAACGCAACCCTTGTGAGCTGTGAAGAAAAGAAAGAAAGAAGAAGGGGAAAGAAGAAAAGAAAAGAGAAGAAAGAAAGAAAGAAAAGAAAGAAGAAGAGAAGAAAGAAGAAGAAAGAAAGAGAAGAAAAAAGAAAAAAAAAGAAAGAAAAGAAAAAAGAAAAAAAGAAAAAGAAAAGAAAGAAAAAAGAAAGGCGAAAGAAAGAGAAAGAAACAAAAGAAAGAAAGAAAGAAAAAAAAGAAAGAAAGATAGAAAGAGAAAGAGAAAGAAAAAGAAAGAAAGAAAAAGTCAGAAGCACGCGATCCGCCCCGGCGAACGACAGCCATCAACCAAAAGCCAAAACCTCACCGAGAAATAAAAGGACGAACGCAACCCTTGTGAGCTGTGAAGAGAAGAAAAGAAAGAAGAAGGGGAAAGAAGAAAAGAAAGAGAAAGAAAAAGAAAGAGAAAGAAAGAGAAAGAAAGAAAGAGAAAGAAAGAAAGAAAAAAAGAAAGAAAGAAAGAAAGAAAAGAGAAAAGAAAGAAAGAAAGAAAGAAAAAGTCAGAAGCACGCGATCCGCCCCGGCGAACGACAGCCATCAACCAAAAGCCAAACCTCACGAGAAATAAAAGGACGAACGCAAACTTGTGAGCTGTGAAAAGAGAAAGAAGAAAGAAAGAAAGGGAAAGAAAGAAAGAGAAAGAAAGAAAGAAAGAAGGGGAAAGAAAGAAAGAAAGAGAAAGAAAGAAGAAAAAAGAGAAAGAAAGAAGAAAGAAGAAAGAAGAAAGAAAGAGAAAAAGAAAGAAAAAGAAAGAAAAGAAAGAAAAAAAATAAAAAAAAGAAGAAGAAAGAAAGAAAGAAAGAAAAAGAAAAGAAAGAGAAAGAAAGAAAGCGAAAGAAAAGAGAAAGAAAGAAAAAGAAAGAAAGAAAGAAAGAAAGAAAGAAAGAAAGAAAAAGAAAGAAAGAAGAGAAAGAAAGAAAGAAAGAAAAGTCAGAAGCACGCGATCCGCCCCGGCGAACGACAGCCATCAACAAAGCCAAACCTCACCGAGACATAAAAGGACGAACGCAACCCTTGTGAGCTGTGAAAGAGAAAGAAAGAAAGAAAGAAGAAAGAAAGAAAAAGAAAGGAGAAAAAAGAAAGAAAAAGAAAGAAAGAAGAGAAAGAAAGAAAGAAAAAAAGAGAAGAAAGAAAGAAAGAGAGAAAGAAAGAAAGAAAGAAAGAAAGATAGAAAGAAAGAGAGAGAAAAAAAAGAAAGAGAAAGAAGAAAGAAAGAAAGAGAAGAAAAGAAAGAGAAAGAAAGAAGAAGAGAAAGAAAGAAAGAAAGAAAAGAAGAAAGAAGAGAAAGAAAGAAGAAAGAGAAAGAGAAGAAAGAAAGAAAGAAAGAAAGAAAAGAAAGAAAGAAAGAAAGAAAGAAAAGAAAGAAGAAAGATAGAAGAAGATAAAAGAGAAAGAAAAGAAAGAAAGAAGAAAAGAAAGAAAAGATAAAAAGAGAAAGAAAGAAAGAAAAAGAAAGAAAGAAAGAAAGAATAAGAAAGAAAAAATGAAAGAAAGAAAGAAAAAGAAAGAAGAGAAAGAAAGAAAGACAAGAAAGAAAGAAAGAAAGAAAAAGAAAGAAAAGAAAAGAAAGAAAGAAAGAAAGAAAGAAAGAAAAAGAAAGAAAGAAAAAAAGATAGAAAGCAAAAGGAGACGACACAACCCTTGTGAGCTGTGAAAGAAGAAAAAAAGAAAGAAAGAAAGAAAGAAAGAAAAAAAATGAAAGAAGAAAGAGAAAGAAAGAAAGGAAAGAAGAAAAAAAAAGAAAAGAAAGAGAAAAGAAAGAAAAAGAAGAAAAAAAGAGGAGAAAAAGAAAGAAAGAAAAAAAACGACAGCCATCAACCAAATGCCAAACCTCACCGAGACATAAAAGGACGAACGCAACAGAAAGAAAGAGAAAGAAATAGAAAGAAAAGAAGAAAAGAAAGAAAAAAGGAGAAAGAAAGGGGGAAAGAAAGAAAAAAAAAGAAAAGAAAGAAAATAAGAAAAAAAAAGACAAGAGACGAACGTAACCCTTGTGAGCTGCGATGGGTTTCATGCTCGTCGTCCCAGCGAATGCCTTCGCGAGTGAGCTTCTGCCTCGCCCGGAGAGCTTTGTCCATCCGAGAACCACTTCCTCTTCGCACCTCGTCTTTCTTCTGGCGTCGAGGAGGAGAGGAAAAGAGGAATATATTTTCGTCTCTTTCTGGGAGGGGAAAAGAGGCGTTGCTTCATCTGCTTTTGTTTCCGTAATCTCCATATTAAGTCCAGTCTTGGTCGAATGGTGATGGATGACGGATGACGCTGGTGATGTAGGGTCTGGCTGACTACGGTGGCGTTGAGGGGCTGACGATGGTGATGTTGCTAGGAATGGCTGACGAATCTGACGTTATCCCGCCTGGCTGACGACGATATCCTACCTGGCTGATGACGATGACGCCGAGTGACTGACAGCGGGCGACGCTTCCATGCCTATCTGCTGACGATAGAGACATTCCCATGCCTAGCTGCTGACGCTGGCGCCATCATGCTTGGCTGACAACGCTGACGCTCTTACAACAGGCTGACACCGCCATGCCCGCTCCCACCAAGGGGTTTCCGCCGCACTCCGCAAACACTCTGTCGCGCCGAGCTGTTGTGTTTCTTTTGTTTATGTATGCATGAGAAGCTTCGGGGTAATCTGTGATCTACCTGCCTGCCAAGCCACGCCAATCAACTCTGCCGCCTCCCTCCCCTTCCTTTTCCCTCTCTTTCTCCTCTTCCTATTTTCCCTCTTCTCCTTTTGTTCCTCTCTTTCTCCTCTTTTCTTCTCCTTTTCCTATTTTCCCTCTTCTCTTTTTCTCCCTCTCTTTCTCCTTTCCCACTTTTTTCTCCGTTTTTTCCTCTCTTTCATCCTCTTTCTCCCTCTTTCCCCTCTGTACCCTTTCTCCCTTTCTCATATTTTCCCTCTCCTTTTCCTCTTTTTTCTTCTCTTTCTCATATTTTCCCTCTGTTTCTCCTCTTTTTCCATTCTCTTCCATCTATATCCTCTCTTTCTCCTGTTTTCCCTCTCTCTCCCCTCTGTACTCTCTTTTTTCTCTTCATTTCCCTCTCTCCCTCTTTTCCCTCTCTCTTTTTCCTCTTTATCCCTATCTCTCCCACTCTTTCTCTTTTCCCTCTCTCCTATTTTCCTTCTTTCTCCTTTCCCCCCTCTTCCCACCCCCTTTCCCTCACTTTCTCTTCTCTCTTCCATCCCACACACACGCACAAACATACAGACACAGGCTTACGCACGGAATCGCAGACATACATCAACACATACAAGCTTGCGACGTATATACGCTATTAATACTGCAGTTAATCCTCTCCGTATATGGAAATGCCTGAGAGCTGTCTGTGTGTTGCAGGAGATATGGAGAATGAGGGAGAGAGAGAGAGAGGGGGGAGGGAGGGAGAAAGAGAGAATGAGAGAGAGGGGAGAGAGAGGGGAGAGGGGGAGAAAGAGAGAATGGGAGAGAGGGGGGAGAGGGGGAGAGAGAGAATGAGAGAGATGGATCGAGAGAGGGGGGAAGGGGGGAGAAAGAGAGAATGAGAGAGAGAGGGGGGGGAGGAGGGGAGAAAGAGAGAATGGGAGACAGAAGGGGGGGGGGAGAATGGGAGAGAGAAAGGGGGAGGGAGAGGGAGAGAGAGAGAATGAGAGAGAGAGAGAGAGAGAGAGAGAGAGAGAGAGAGAGAGAGAGAGAGAGAGGAGAGAGAGAGAGAGAGAGGAGAGAGAGAGAGAGAGAGAGAGAGAGAGAGAGGAGAGGAGGGGGGAGGGAGAGAGAGAGAATGAAAGAGAGGAGAGAAAGAGAGAGGGGGTGGGAGAGGAGGAGGGAGAAAGAGAGAGCGAGAAAGAGAGAGAAAGAGAGAGAGGGGGGAGGGAGAGAGACAGAGAGAGAGAGACAGAGAGAGAGAGAGAGAGAGAGAGAGAGAGAGAGAGGAGAGAGAGGAGAGAAGGAGAGAAGAGAGGAGAGAGAGAGAGAGAGAGAGAGAAGAGCAAAGAGATAGAGAGAAAGAAAAAAAGAAAGAAAAATGAAATAGATAGATAGATAGAGAGATGAGTTTCACAGGGAATCATCTCAAGTCCAGGACCCATCTCCGGTAAGGGTGTCATCTTCCATTTCCTTATTCCGACCTCTTCTCTCGTTTCTTCCTATTTACTTCCTACGCTGTCCTACTGTGTTTGTTTCCCACGTTCATCTTTTTTTTCACATTCTCCTCTTTTCTTTTTCATTTTGCTTCGTTTGTCTTTTTTTCTCTTTCCCTCCACTCATTCTCTGTCTGCCTGTCTCTCTCTTCTCTCTCTCTCTCTCTTACTCACTCCATTCCTCTCTCTGTCTCTCCCTCTACTCTCTGTCTTTCTCCCTCCATTCTTTCTCTCTCTCTCTCTCTCTCTCCCTCTTTCTCTCATTCTCCCTATCTTTTTATAGTTTGCCTTATTTTTTTTCTAATCCTCTTTTCTGCTTCCCTACATCCCCAATCTCTCTCTCTCTCCACTCTCTTTCTCTCTTAATCCTCCACTCACTCTCTCTCTCTCTCCACTCTCTTTCTCCCTCTCCACACTCTCTCTCTTCTCTCTCTCTTCTCTCCTCTCTCTCTCTCTCTCTCTCTCTCTCTCTCTCTCTCTCTCTCTCTCTCTCTCTCTCTCTCTCTCTCTCTCTCTCCCTTTCTCCCTGAGCGAGGTAAACTATCTTAAGCTGCCGATGGAATCTCTGACGTTGAGATGAAGTATTGATTCGATACAAATTTCCCCCCCCCCTCCCCTCCTCCCCCCACCCCGGTTCGGTCGCTTGCGGTGGTAGCAGGCTGCGGTATTTTGCGTGGGGGGGGGGGGGGCGAGGGGGAAGGGGAGGGGGTGCTGCATGAGGCACTGATGCAGGCTATATTGCGAGGGAAGCTCGGGTCACACAGGTAGAGTGCCAAAAGCGAAGTTTGGCCTTTGGGGAGGTGGTTGGGGGTGGGGTTTGAATGGGGGGGGGTACGAGGGGGTTATGGAGGGGGGGAATTAGCAGGATGGAAGGGGGGAGGGGTAGGTTGGAGGAGGAGTGGATCGGGGGGGGGGTGAGGGGTATGGAAGGGGGATTAGTGGGTTGAGTGAGATAGGTGTGAGGGGGGGGGTATGGTGAGGAGTGGATAGAGGGTTTAAGAGAGAGCGGGTATAAAGTGAAGTAGGGGTAAGGGATGGAATGGAGTGTAGGTTGGAGAGTGAATGGATGGGGTGGGGGAGGGGGATGGGGGGGGGTACGCTGTGGCACTCATCCCTTCGTGTATTCAGTCTGGTTCGTGAGTATTGAGGGGTGTATTGAGGTGAGTACTTTTGATAGCCTTTGCTCTCCAATAGGTAAGGATTGAGGCTGGATATCGGGCTGGGATTGCTGTATTGGTAGTGGCACTGAGGCAAGCTATGATACAGATACAAATATGGCACCGATTCAGGCTATAG